CTGTATTCTAATGGTTCAGTGCAACACAATTGATATATGAGCCATTAAGGCTGAAACTCTGGAAAAAAAAAACTCTGAAAATTCATATTTGAGATTAGTGCTGTATGATCAATAAGTGTTAGTTTCATTTTCTTCTTTTTCGGGGTGGGAGGGGTGGGGAGGGGAGAATATTTAGGGATAAAAATTGAGGGGCCAAGGGTAGATGCAAAAATATGTTTAATGTAGAGGCCGTTATTACATATTGCAGAATCCACCCATCTTATTCAATCAGCACCACCCCCTCCCCCCCCTCTCTCTTCCCGCTACTAAACGGTCTCAATTTGAAACACTTAGAAGATAACCTTTTTCGAAAGAAACCCTATTTTACAGGCGAAATACGCCTCTATGGTAGTTATAAGTTATTAAAAATTTTTATTGTGTGTGAAGATGCTTTTTTTAATTTATTGTGTGGTTTTAATATTATTGCGTTAAGGCGCTAACGAACACGTAGTCGAGTATGGCGCTATAAAATTACAATGAAAATACTAAATCAGACAAAAACTTAGCAAAAGGCGATTGATTTTTGTTCATTTATCCCCTTGATATTCCATCTGATTAAGGTTTCAACATTTTCACAAATGACGATCTTTCAATGTAATGATAATTCTCAGTATTTGTCTCAAAGTTTGCGTGAGTATATCGGCCATTTATCTAACACAGGCTCGACCGCAACAACCCAGCGATAACCCCATTAACACCAAGGTTTTGGACTCTTAGCGGTTGATATATTGAAACTGTAAGTTAGTAGATATATGATTGACTCTTATCAAGTAGAATTTCTATAATATGTTAGTACAAGGTATCGGTTAACAATCGGAATCATGCAAATAGAATACTTTCTAGATCTGCTATTGTCGTTAATTCAGTGGGCTAGCTCATCTCAAGGTAACGTACAGAGTCCCGCCACTATATTGCTCAGAGAAAATAGATTTACTTGATCATTTCAAATTCTTATTCGATTTATATATAATAAAAAAGCCTTTCAAACTGCTCTGCATGACAGGCAGGCTGTTTACTGAGTGCACATTGACTATGAAAAATCTGGCGATTACTTTCAATTTTAAAATCGCATTAATTTATTTATGTTTTTTTTTTTTCATTCGCAGCTATTCTTCGCTCTTTCCCTATTAATGGTCCTTCTGACATATTTAAAGTAAATATTCTCAGACTTTCTCACTGTACGTTCGTCATGCATACATATTTTCTCGGGTAATTTGTTCTTTTGCGCTCTCCGTCAACATGCACAGTTTTAGCTGGTTTTGAATACAGAAGATGACTATATTGATACGCCCACTTAAAAAGCTAAAAACAGTAAAAAGTGTCAAAATTGAACAAAGTCTTTGATTTGTTCGTTCTACTTTTACAGTTTTTTTATTCATTCAATTCTTTCTTCTCCGTCTTACGATTTTAATTTCATTTATTTATTAACTGTAGCCTTTCCTTGATACTGTTTTTCAGTATAATTAATTTTTTGCACGCACTGTCCCGCATCGAATAGCCTTGCTAGCTGCGGGCAGAGCGTCTGTTATACGATCTGCTTATTAATAAAGTTTTGTTGTTGTTGGTTTTGCCTGATTACTTGAAACAGGTTGTGCTATCAGCTACGCCAAAATCGGTTGCTTCAAAGATGACAGAACTAACCCTCGACCAGTACCTGTCCTCGTTTTTACCGATCGTGATAACAGTAGTAATGTATGGAGTGGTAAGACCATCGACTGGAGCAACTGGGATACATACATAGTTGATCTGGTTTGCAGATGTGCAAATGAGTCAAGGGCAAGGAACTATTCCCACTTCAGCATTCAGTATTACGGTAACTGTCAAGTGAATATAGTATTTTTTATAATTTTTAATTGAAATTGTTTTCTGTTTTATCATTTTACTCATTTCCTTATAAGAGGCTAGAACATGTACCAAGATATGCAGTCCTCAAAGTGTACTACATACATCGATATTTCGAATTGACCATAATGTACTTTGTCTGCTGTTTCGACGTCTCGTGGTCGTAATTGTTATAAGGCCCCATTTAATTTATAGTAATACAGCTTCAATCCCTTCTCCATCCTATCCTTACCAATAGAGACCTTTAAATTCTAAGACGAGAGCGACTACGAGTTAGACATTTATTTTCTGAATACTAAGAAGCTCTCGCGCCAGTACTAGCGTCACTTTGCAGCATCTCACTGAACGGCTCACACAATTGGCTGTGCAAACAATAGAAAACGGTGACATAACAATGCCCCTATCCCTGAAAACAAAAGGCAATATTGTTTTAGTCGACCGCTGAAATTAGAGGTTCATGTGAGGTACTAGAGTACTGTCACTTTGGCAGGAAAACGTGAGGGTCGCTGTCTACTACGAGTTTTAACGAGAATGTCGTAGTGGTGGAACCAAGGTTTGAAATGAATATGTTATTTAGAGATTTTATCACTTTGTGGTTGTGAGAGGGCTTAACCTCCTTCAATAAAGATAATAGTGCCAACTTTTCTGGTGAAGGAAAACAGGACAATGGAGCTTTCCGGGGTGTCTATTTTTTGGTAATGGGTTCATGATAACCGTCACGAATATAGAGACATTAAGTGACTACTAAGCCCACTATGAGAATGTTGATGTAATTGCTGTAGTTACTGTAGTTGGTGTAGTAGCTGTAGTTGGTGTAGTAGCAGTAGTTGCTGTAGTAGCTGTAGTTGGTGTAGTTGGTGTAGTTGGTGTAGTAGCTGAAGTTG